GAAGTGATTTTTACATCTGGGTTTGTTCTGGGTTATTTCTGTCTTCCCCTTCAAGCTGCAACCAGCTCCAATCCAGAGACTAAAAATGAAGCAGAAACACTAATTAGAGTTTAGATACCATCTTCCCAACCCAAAGCAAAGCTACTGGATTTTCTTAAAGGAAAATACTATAAGCACATCTTGGGCATTGAAACTTTATGCCCAAAAAAAAAATTAGACAATACTTAAGGGGAAAAACTTACAGGAGAAGGGATGTACATTTTTTCTGGGTTTACTTAAACACTAAAAGTTTCTTCATACAATGTATTACTGACATTTCTAGAAGTCTCTTGTAATATTTATTTCAGTAACCCCATTTTGTATAGGGAATGAGGTCTCTTTCTGCCATTTTAATTATTAGTGTATGCAGAGTGTTAGAAATCTATTCAAAACTTCTTACAGCCCTTTGGCTTCCACATTACTTGGCCAGCACTCCTCCCAAAAGTATGCTTATGGTTTAAAGTGATAGAAGTTACCATAAAGCTCTGGTCCTGCTCCTTCATTGTGTCATGCATCACACTTTCTAACTGGCTGCAGAGATTCTGAGATTCCATCAGTAGTCCCTCACTGAAAAGAAAAGTTACACAAATGATTACATCTATTGAAACTGGAAGTCTCACCTGTTAGAGGTACATCCTCACATGCAGGTACCTGTACAGCAGGGGTATATACTCAGGCTAGCAAGCCTAAACTGATAGCAAATGTTATTTTACCAATCTGTTGTTGTTGCCACTTACATCAACTAAAAGTGTTATTGCAGTCTATGGTACCTTAAGATTTACTGATAAAGTGACCTAGAAAATGCATTCAAGATGGCATCAAGCTTGTATCCCTGTTCACTCATGGAAATTGTATAAGAGTCCAGAAATCAAAGACTAGAATTTTACATGATGGGCAAAATAAGCCTGGCTCTGACAGACTATTACATTTTTAATTAACCAAAGAGGAATTGGTTCCATTTTACTCCTGTAAACCAGCCACAATTACAATTGCTTGTCCCAGTTTTTAGGGCAAATATGCAAATTCCCAATGCCATTGTGCTCTAAAGTGACATTGCTTCAAGTCCAGCCCTGCCATGTGGTTTCACAGTGAAGTTTTAATACCACATCTCCTTCTTCCTGTTACTGAGACAGAACCCACAAGGGAACTGACTAGACACAAAGTGCACATTTACACTGGAGCTGGAAGGTGTAAAATTCCAGTTGTGTTCTCTCTAAGAGCATAGATCCAGCAGCATAAGTAGGATGACCAGACAGCAAGTGTGAAAAATTGGGACACAGGTGGGTAATAGGAGCCCATATAAGAAAAGACCCCAAAATCAGGACATCTGGTCACCCTCAGCACAAGCCGAAGGAGGGCCTAGCCACAGAATATGTACCTAGTGTTTCAGATAGCTTCCTGGAATAGGATCCTACCAAGCAGTACTCCTGGGGGAATCCTGTGCTACTGCATGTGCACATAATTAATTTTGCACAGGAAAAACAGTTGCTGCTGATCTGCCTTTTGCCCACCAGAGGGCACTGTGGTGATAAACCAAGGCAGTAGTGCTGAGCCTGCAGAGCCGTCTTTACAGCAGGCCAGGTCAGGCAACACCATGGGGGGCTGTGAGACAGGGGTCATAAGGTCTAATGGAGGTGGACAAACTGGGGCAAGGCCTCATGGTGACAGGAGGGGACCTGGGGCCGCATGTGCCTGACACTGGGAGAAACTTCCTAACAGTCCATTTCCCCCCCACCCATACCTAACAACTCTCCAAGTTTACACCCAGGCTCCTTCCCAGCAATTATTTTCCCTCTCCCTCAGCTCCTCCATTACCCGACTTCCCCCACAGCCTTTGCACTACTTTTGGGGGGGTGGAGGAAATATGATTCTATAGGGTAGTTTAAATGAATTACAGAGTTCTGTATTAATATGGCTAATAAGGAATCTATTTGTCAAAAAACATTTCTGAATCTTTGACTGTATTGTTAGACATACTTGCTGACAGGTATTTTGAAATAAATTAACAATGTAATCACACCAGTTTCAATTATTTTTGGTATTTTGACAAAAAATATGCAGAATTTTGCAAATTTAATTTTTTGGCACAGAATTCCCCCAGGAGTAACACTGTGTATGTCTCCTCGAGCTGGAACTTACACACCTTTCAACTCTACTGTAGACATGTCCAAAGTAATCTTAAAAATCCTTGTCTGCTAACAGTAATCTTAGGTGTTAGCTGTAACCATCGCTAAACAATGTGTCCATTTAACATATGCATGGATGTAACTCCATCATTCTTCACTTTACCTTTTCTTGATAGATTCTGGTAAATTGTAAGTTACAGCTGGGACCTGCGACAGCAGCTGACCTGGGTTACTAAGCCGTGATGCATTCATACTCTCTGGGCTGCCACTGACAGGACCACGCACCTTACTCTGAAGGGAGAAGGCAGACAGGAAGGCAGATTCAGATTGCTGCCTGCATTTTATTTCTACATAAACTTATTTCCAGGACCAAGTGCTGCCATTTCTCTTAATGGCAAGTAAGGATTTGGGGTTTTCTTTAATACTAAGCTAGGCCCAGATTTTTAAACCAAAATTCAACAGAGGGAGGTAAGGATATCAAGATTTTACCTCGTGTTTTTCAGTCAGAAGAAATGTGATCTCAGGTCTCTGTCTATGCAGCATTTTTCTGGGTGCTGCCTTTAGCCCTGTACAGACTTCATACAACCCTCAGTAGCTGGTCACCCCACTAGAGTTGCAGAATATTGACTGCAGTTCTATTTTCTTCCCTCAGAATTCAACAAAATTTATCTTTTGTAGTACGTTCTTTATAGCAATTAAAGGACCACACCCACCCCTTAATGTATAAATGCCCTGGAAAAGAACAAAGCAGAGCATAATTGTGTTGAGAAGGGGGGGGGAGGGTTTCCCATGTGAAATTTCCAACACTGGTGATGAAATAGCTGCAGGCCACAGCATTTCAAAGAAGGGGTTCTAAAACCAGTGCAGGCTCTTGGATGAACAACTGCAGCTATATTCAGGTCTCTACCATCAAAAGGGGTGGGGGGAGGAGAAGAGGCCATTAACTTCTGTTTCACTCACACAAGCAATTTTCAGCAGGTTCCATAATTCTTTCTGTCGTTTTTCCTGAAGCCTGACAACTGTGTTCTCATCTTCATTCATCAGGTTCATCACTTCCTCCACTCTGGGGAACAATTCCAGTGCATTCTGCTTGCAAATTACTGTCTTACTGTAAAGAACAATAATCAGGTCAGATGAGCAGCTGCACTGTGTCAGTTAGAAGCTCCAATTGTTTAACTCCTAATAATTGGAGAAGAACATGATTCTTAATGTGTGAAGTTGTCTGAATATATCTTACTGAGACTAATACATCTCCTCATTGTACTAAGAGCAATAGAGAAGGCTGCCCAGATGTTCCTTGTCTCTCTTTCATAAAATGGATGTTCTGGGACTCACCTGAGCTGAGCATAAATTAGACGGACTGTCTTTTCAAATGTCTGGATTGCCTGCAGGAGCAGTCGCACTATTTCCTGACTGTCACCACTGGTCCTCTGGTCTAGAGAGATGAAAAAGGATCAGAGTGAGTTCATTAGAGAGACTATCATTGTTTCTGTAGCACTGTGTCCTAGGCTCTAGCTCTTTGGAAAGAAGCCACATGGCAGGGGGCTGTAGCCCAGAGATTATACTGGGGGATGGGTCTGTGGCCATAGGGAGGAAGGGCTGGGCGCAAGTCCTGCCTACAGCACATGCCTTCAGCAGTAGTTTGGGGAGAAGGGCCCAAAATGGCTTCATCCTGAAGAGGCAGCCAGCTGCTAGGACCAATTGGTCAAGAGATCAAAGCTGGCCTCCGTGCTTTGAATATTCATAGATTCGGAGACTGGAAGGGACCTCAAAAGTCCAGTCCCCTGCCCTCATGGCAAGACCAAATACTGTCTAGACCATCCCTGATAGACATTCATCTCTTTCCCAGGCAGCCACAATTGGGGTAGGGGTAGCAGTGCTCTTTTGGAACTGGAAAAGAGGAGAGAGATCATTTGTTATTGGAGTGTAGGCTACAGGCCTGGAATGGAGAATTCTCAATACTGTTGAATGCTCTTTCCAGTTAATGGTCACACACAGCAACAAGACAACAGTGGCTACAGGTTCTTTACCTCTTGGCTTCTCCCTTAGTCGCCGGTAAAGTTCTCTGGCTTGTTCTTCCCTACAAAATAAAAGACAAGTGTTTCTCTGGAACCCAAATTGTAATTGGCCCCTTCAAGGACTCTCAAAAACCCTTCGCATACCTGACTATGCAGCTGCCAGACAGCTGGGCTATGTCAGCAGTCCAGTGCTGGCTTTTTGTTAGGCCCTGCCAACCCAGTCTGTGGTCTGGGCTGATGAATAGGTGCCTCTGATTGCTTGCATTCAGAAAGGAGCCACTGTGCTAGAAATGCTAGCACCACAGGCTAGAGAGGGTTCCAACTTACAAATCCTCCAGGGTGCCCCCTTGCTTCCGCCCTAGTGGGCTTCTCTGCAGGTCCACAATGTCTGCCTGCAGGGCCATCATCCTCTTCACCAGCTGATCCACATCTTCCTCCTGAGAGGAGGAGCTTCAGTTAATAACATTGTTCCCAGACATAGGCCCGCCACAGGGTGAGGGAACTCTGGTTCTAACTGGCCTTAAATGGAACAGGAATTGCTTTCCCTTTTCATCCACAATCCTGCAGTCTTAGACAAGGAAGAAGGGCCTTGTGCAAAGACTGATGGGATATTTCCCTTTGATACCAGTAGATTGATTTGATTTAGTCCTCTCAGACTAGCCCCTTCTAATGACCTTGCTGCTTTGGATACCTTAGCTCAGCTTGTGAAGAGACACTGTTTGTTCACATTCTAAGGTGAACCTGCAGCTAGTGACAAAAAGAGGAACAAAATTTCCTCTCAGCTGTTCCGAAGGACTATTGTAATTCTCACCTCACCCACCAACACCCTTAATCTTACCCCTCAGATATCAGCATCCCAGTCCTCACATCCAGAGTCTACCTCAACCTGTGACATACTAATGTCAGGAAACAGGATCACTGACTCCTCCTTAGGCAGAAACCTTCTGTCCCCCTGTATTCTGAGGAAAGACGGTATATGGGCAGGTAGGAGGATAGTCACCAAGGAAATCACTTTTCAGTAGGCTTCTGCTCAGAGACACAGCACAGCTACCAGGGTCTAACATTCTGTATTTCAGATGCCATCTCAAGTTAGCCTGTCACTCAGTCCCAGTATTTGGGACAGGTAAGTGAACACACTGAGCAGATGGTAAAGAATCCCCTTTTAGAATTTGGTATTAACACTTCCATTCCTACAGCCTTTCTGAGCACTGCAAGCCAACCATTTTCCTTTTCAGTTTTAACTTCTGCGTGAGCCACATCCTCTTCTCATTACCCCAGCAACAGCCCCATTGGCAACAGTACAATTGCTTTTGTCTATAATTGGCCCTGTTACAAGTATCTCTCAGTTTAGGCATTAGGAATCATCTCCTCCATATCTTTCTGTCCTGACCCTTCTCAACACAGAAAGGGCTGCATAGGCCTGTGGACAAGGAAAAACTGATGCAACCTAAAACAAGGGAGGGGCTTGGTTTATCAGGCCAGTTCAGCCCTGGAGCGGAGGATGGAAATGCAGGGTAGCAGCAGAAAGCCGCCTCTTTCAGGCAGGCAATTAAACCTAAATCTAGAAACATACCCGCCCACAAAGCTCCACAGCCTGCTCCATATCCCTCCAGGCAAACAACAGCTTCTCAGAGGCTGAAAAAAGAAGGAAGAAAAGTCCATTACTCTGCTGCATTGGAGGAAAGGAAGCTACCATGCTGGGATTGGAGGAGCGGATGGAGGACTCCCCTGCATGTCACAGGGGCTGTACTCACTGATTCCAAACTCTGTCTGCTCACTGTACTTCTCCAGGTCAATCTGGATGCTGGTTTTAAAGAAATCCAGCTTTGCCTTCAGCTGTTGGGACAGGGAGGCCATGGAATTCTTCATCTTGGAGAGATTGCTATTGTAACGCAGCAGATTCATCCTGTGGAGAAAGTGAGAAGGGTCATGTCGGTCCAACCCCATAGGAGTTGCACATAGTGTCTCAACTGATCCCACACACAGCTTTCAGAGTCACTCTCATTCAAGCTTACAGATCCCAGGATTCTCCAGTTGAGCCATGATCAGCCCACATTTTCCTGTGTCACCAAGACAAATGAACAGGGCTAAGTGGAGCTGAGATTGCACAAAGACTACAAGGTTAGAGGCCACAGCTCTTAGCTCTCCATTAATTGCAAATAACTCCACCTTTATCAAGAACTTCCCCCTCCCAGATAGTGCACCACTGTAGGGCAGGTTTCTTTTCCTGTTATCCCCCTCTAGCCAGGAGGCCCAAGTGGAGCCAAGTATTCCCAAATGGACCCCACTGTACATGGCTGCTCGCTGCCCCTGCTGAAGCAGGTTACAATCCTCCTTCAGAGTCCGAATCGTGTGCCAGACCTGACCCCACACCTTCCGTAGCTGGAAGAAGGACAGATTCTTCTTTGGATCCTGAACTGGAAACACAGAGAGAGCATATGTTGTTAAAAAAAAAAAGGACTTACAGGAGCAGTGCAGGAGTTAGCACCCAGTCCAAGTCTGAGATAGGGTGCTACCTCTTCTTGAACCTGCACAGCCAAGTCTCTGTGCCCATCACATCCCGTATGGGGCACTAGAAAGGCTATTTCACTGCAACTGGCCACAGTTTGAGAGTCTAACTCAACAGGTCATGATTCTTCTCTACCCTCAATTAAATCCCACCCCAGAGATGGAATGCTATGACAATCTGCTTCGCTGCCCACTCCACTCTCAAGAGCAAATGTCCGCCCCCTACAGCTCGCATATACAGCAAGCTCTCTGTGCTGATTCCCCATGGAAATAACCCATGCCCAGGGGAAGTCCTTACGGATGCAGTCAACACTTTCTGGATGAGGCCGCAGGAAGATCTGCCTCTCATAGGCAACTTTACGGTTGTCAAAAAGGAAAAGGAGGTCTGTGTCCGTGGCGTCATTCACCTGCAGAGATGAGACCTATCTCAGTACTCTCAGATACAGTATCCCACAGCAGCCTCCACTGAAATAACCCAGAGCCAGCTGGCTCACCATGGCCCAGGATAGTGTGAGCAGCAGGAAGGAGGGCTGCTCTGCTTCAGTGAAAACAAGAGTGGGGTGGAGGGAGTGTGAGGCTGGGGTAGGTGCTCAGAGTGCAAGTGCCAGCAGGTGCAGGCTTGGCTAGCAGGGTTCAGGTTTCAGCCCCACGCTCACCTTGCTGTCAGCCATACACTGAATAGCCAATTTTTGAGGGTATAGTGCAAGCCCCGCCTCCTGCAAGAGCTCCTGCTCCTGCTCTGGAATACCAGTATCTGACTGAATCCTGGCCTTCACAGTCTGCGAGGTTTCCTCTTCTGTCACAGGGTACATGTGCAGAGTGCCCGTAACCATGTTTAGGATGCGAACCAGCTGCAAGAAAAGAAGTGGGACATGGGAAGAAGCCAGGGCATGGAGGTCATGGCTGAGCAGAGATGCCAGGACTCAGACCAGGGGATGGAGAAGGAAACTAGGAACACCAGGACCATATGGCCACTTTAGGGCTGCTTGGCAACATCGTGCCAAGATCTTTGACCTGCATCAGACAGAAGGGAGGCCACGTGACACAGAAAACAGGATCAGCAAGTCCTCTTCCCTCCGCCAGAGCGAGAGAGACACAGACACTCAGTGGAATAACAGACAGGAAAAGCCCTGTGAATACTTCTCCTCAGCTGGCCAGGAAGAAGCCAATGTGTCTTGGACTTCGCCCTTCCACATCAACCATTGCTAATTCTCCCTGAATAGTTTTCCAGAGTACTTTTCCTTGATTGTTACCAAGTGACTATCTTTCAGCCTCCAGTAAATCTAGGTCCCCTTGTGGCTTCAAAATAAACAGACTTTAACAAGCTCAGAACTGGTAAGTAAGAAAATCTAAGGGTTAAACAAGTTCACGAGAACTGGCAGTTTCTCAAGGAGACACTATTAAATGCATAACTTCAAATTATTCTGATATGAAAGAAAGATAGGACGAATATTAAGAGGTCAATATGGCTCCATCACGAGGATTACAATAAAAAAGTGGAAGCATGGACAAATTGCTAATGAGGAGTACAAAAGAATAACAAGCATGTAGGAACAAAATCAGAGTTAAATACCTAGCTACTAACTGATGACAAGAAGGCTGAGGAATTTAATGCCTGTTTTACTTCAGTCTTGTGGTTAAACAGTGACCACATACTCAAACACACTTATTAACATCACGGGAGCAGGGACAGACACCAAAAATAGGGAAAGACAGGTTAAAGAAAATTTAGATAAATTAGATGTACTCAAGTGGGCAGGGCCTGATGAAATTCATCCTACGGTACTTAAGGAATTAACTGAAGCAATCTTGGAACCATTAGCATTATCTTTGAGGATTGGACAAGGGAAACATACTACCTGCCTTTAAAAAGGGGAACAAAGAGGACCTGGGGAATTACAGACCTATCAGTCTAATTTTGATACTTGGAAAGATACTGGAACGAATTATTAAACGATCAACTTCTAAGCATGTAGATGATAATAGGGTTATAAGGAATATCCAGCATGGATTGTCAAGAACAAATCATGACAAACCAAGCTGATTTCCTTCTTTGACAGAATTACTAGCTTGGGGGGGGGGGAGAAGAGCAGCAGACATGATAGATCTTGATTTTAGTAACACTTGACACAGTTCCACAGGAGGGTCTCATAAGCAAACTAGGGAAATGTGGTATAGATGAAGTCACTGTAAGGTTGGTACACAACTTGTTGAAAGACTGTATTCAAAAGTAGTTATCAATAGTTTGCTGTCAAACTGGGAGGTCATATCTAGTGGGTTCACACTGCAGAAGTCAATCCTGGGTCCAGTACTGTTCAATATTTTACTTGGATACTGGAGTGGAGATTAGGCTTACAAAATTTGTGGATGACACCAAGATGGGAGGGGTTACAAGCATTTTCAAGGACAGAATTCGAATTCAAAATGACCTTGACAAATCAGAGAATTAGTCTGAAATCAACAAGATGAAATTAAATAGAGGTAAGTTCAAAAGAAAAATAATGAAATGCACAACTACAGAATGGGAAACAACTGGTTAGGTAGTAATACTGCTGAAGACAAGCTGGGAATTATAGTAGATCACAAATTACATATGAATCAACAATGTGATGCAGTTACAAAAAAGGCTAATGTCATTCTGGACTGTATTAACAGGAATGTCACGGTAACTGTCCTGGTCTACTTGGCAACAATGAGGCCTCAGCTGGAGTGCTGTGTCCAATTCTGGGTACCACACTTTAGAAAAAAATGTGGACAAACTGGAGAAAATCCAGGAGAATAACAAAAATGAAAAATGGTTTAGAAAACCTGATCTATGTGGAGAGGTTAAAAAACTGGGTATGTTTAATCGTGAGAAAAGAAGACATGGGAAACTTGATAATCTTCAAATATGTTAAAGGCTGTTCTAAAGAGGATGTTGATCAATTATTCTCCATATCCACTGAAGGTAGGACAAGTAATAATGTTATAATCTGCAGGAAGGGGAGACTGAAGTTGGATATTAGGAAAATACGTTCCAACTCTCAGGGTAGTTAAGCTTTGGAACAGGCTTCCAAGAGATGTGGTGGAATCCCTGTCATTGGAAGTTTTTAGGAACAGGTTGGACAAACACCTGTCTGGGATGGTCTAGGTTTACTTGGTCCTACCTCAGCACCAAGGGTTGGACTTGACTTCTTCAAGTCTCTTCCAGTCCTATTTTTCGGAAGTTAGCAGAAGGACCAAACTCTGTCATTCTGCAGCCCCAGAGAGCCTAAATAAACCACCCACACTTTCTCACCACAACATAGACCAATTCAGTACTGAAGGAGCTTCCCAACATGGGGCCCGTCCATTTTTGTGCCACAACTTTGTCTACTTGACAGCTCTGCAACTCTACTCCCTGCGGATCAGCTCTGCATTTGGGGAGAACAATACTGACCTCCTTTGAAAGTGCTTTGAGATCTACTGATGTAAGAGTTCAGTATGATTACTGTTATTTAGTACCAGGCTGTAACAAAAACTCACTCTTGTGGATATACTTGCTCAGACCAGCCCTCAGCAGGGCTTTTCCTTCTTACAAAGCAGCCTCTCCCATCTTAATGGGGTTTCCACACATCCTTCCTTAGCCCATGACTCAGGCTTCTCTCATAGGCTAACATAAGCCACGCTCTCTGGACACTGGTCTGTCCATGAAAATCCAGTCCCAAGACTCACCTTTAGGTTCAGTATATCATCCAATGCCTTGAAACAGCCATTGGGTCCATAAACAGGGTCTGTCCCTCTCTGCCGCGGGTGCCACATTAACATGAGCTGCAGCCATTTCTCCAGCCGCCCAGCCAAAATGCTATGAGGCAGAAACAAGAAGAACCAGAGAACAAAGACGTGTTTCAGTTGGCCATACCAGTTTGCATCTACAAAAAGAGATCCAAAGCTCAGACCTCCCCCCAATCTCTTAACTAGAGAACAGAGAAAGGAGCATGGAATCTTCTACAGCAAGCTAACAGGAGCCTCCTGTTTTCATCTACAGAAACTTCAGCCAGATGAGACCATGTGCATTGGGTACTAAACTTTTCAACAGATCAGCAGGTCATAGAAACAAAACAGACCCCTTCTTATTCCCAGGAGGACATATCCAGCTTATCCCCATGGGGTGCATTTGGGTCTCACCTGTTTAGATTATTGGGATATGGTAAACTGCTAGAAAATTTCACTTCTCCAGACAAGTCTTCATAGACAACAATATCCAACTCGCTCTTCTGTCGCACTTTTGTGTGCCTAAAGAGTTCAAGCAGGTACAGTGTCAAAGTAAAGAAAGTTCTGCGATCCCTCTGCATGACGACAACTGCACCTCACCCTTTCCAGGACACACATTAGCCTCTAGCCAATTTCACAACACACAGAGGCTGCTGAAAACACAGACACACAGCTAACAAAATCAGTCCCAAATATCTTATTCAGACATTTGCAACTCCCCTGCAAAACATCCCAACTTGAATTTAAACCTGACAGCAGATATGCTGATGCTGCTCCAGGTTAATTCTGTTTGCCCAAAGATTGTCAATCTCACTGGCCCCATAGATAACGTAGGTCTGTCCAAAAGAGATTTACCAGGGAAGACTGAGCCTAGCAGCCAACTCAACACTCAAGTGAAAGGATCAGCTCTCCCACCCCAATGTGAAGGGTAAGATACTAATTCTGCCAACCCCAGGAACCACCCAAGCTGCATGACAGTCAAGTGTTTGAAGCCAGGAAAGCTCTTAGAATGCCTAAATTCAAATCCCTAGTAGGCCATGAAACAAATAATGATTAACCCTAAAATTGATAACCCCTTCCATCAAACACCATTAAAACAAGACAGTAGTTTGGATGCCAAAGAGAGTTCCTCCTCCTTCTCTGGCCCCATCTTACTCACCATTGCACAGGCTGCCAGTTGGGCAAAAATGGTCTGAAACCTGTTATGCATTCAAATGCCAGTGTGCCAAAGCTCCAGTAATCCACCGTCACTGTGTACTTCTGCTGTTCCAGCAGCTCTGGAGCCTGGGTCAGCCAACACAGGTTAAAGATTAAGCCACTTTTCTCTCAGACCTCAACTGCACCTGCCTCCTTAGATGTTCATTACTGTTTGCGCATCACTTTGGAAAGCTCATGCTAAGTGTTTTAACACTCAGGAACCTTATTGGCCTCTTTGACCAGTCCTAGGGGTTAATGAAACTCACACCCTCTATGCAGCAGAAAGTTAGCAATGTAATGTGAAAACCCAAATGTTGGCAAAGAGAACAATACAGCCTGTTCTTTTGCTTCAGCATGTGTATCCCAAACACATCCATACCTGCATGGTCGGAACTCCTCTCCCACCCCACAGCCAGATTACAGTCCCTGCTCCCTCCTGCTGCTCTTCCCCACAGACCTTGCTGGTCACAGCAACACTACAAGCTAAATCCACTCCTTACCAGGTATTGCAGCGTCCCAACGAAGGAAGTGCACAGACTGCCCTGATCCAGCTCCTTAGCATACCCCAGGTCAATGATCTTGTGTATTAACTGAGAGAGACAGATGGCAGACAGTAAGAGGACTGAAAACACATTCTGCAAAGAGGGCATGCACTTCTACAGAGAGAACAGATGATTTCAGTACTCAGAAGCGCTGGGAGAAGGGCAGGAAGCATCAAGGCAGTGTTGTGCTCCTGCATGATCATGAGAACAAAGCCGCAGATAAAGCAGCTCCCCAGGGTCATTATGAGCTTGAAATGCAAGGAACTTGAGATGTTATTGCTGACTTACAATAGAGCCCAGTCTGAATGGAGGGACTTTCCTAGGAGAGCTGGATCACTCTGGTCTTTGAATAGAAGTTTATTTTTATTTCCTGAGGAGATGTTCACTGCTCCCTTGAGGAGAAGCAAGAAAGATGGCCAGATTTGTGCCTCTTCTGGCACAACGCTGCCATAGCCATCAAGTGGGGGGAAGCCTCACATGGGTAGAGCCATTATAAGAACTCCTGTGCTGCACCCCTGCTACCCTTATGTAGAGGGTGTGACCTGGGAAAAGTGGGCATGGCCATAACTTTCCCTAGTTACTCTGGTGTATGTCGTGGTCCAACCTGGCCCTAGGATCAGGGAAGCATAGAGATGGCTTAATGGTTCCTTGGAACCACCACATGAGATGTCATGTGCCACCCCATGGTGCCCTGACTGGGAAAGGGCAGTCCAAATAGTCATGCTTAGACTGGCAGTCTGCAGCAGTACAGTACAAAGCCCAGCCACCATTTCATCACACAGCGAGGACTAGGCACAGAGTGTTTAAACTAAAGCCTCGTGGGAATTGCTTCTGCACATCAGCGAAGCATCAGATAGGCAGAGCTATCTGGTAGTCTGAGCTCAGTCTGTGGAACCACACACCCCCAGCCAATTTCCAAACAAATCTGACACCTATTACCGCTTTGGCAAAGTCACTTCCTCTCTGCCTCGCTTCCCAGTCTGTAAAGGGTGGGGGTGGGGTGGGGAGAAAGAGAAGGATATAACTCATAGTACTTGGATGTTCAGATAAATCATTAAATTAGCAGTTTGAATAAATACCAAGAATTACAAGATGAAACCACCACCACCTCTCAGATCATGTTCAGACACCCTCATTGGGCTAGTCATTTTAGCTTGCGAGATCTCAGAGAGGGATCATATTTTCATCTTCAGCTCCTAGTCATTCACTCTCTCACTCACACACACACTTTCATGCTCCCGCCCTTACACTCCACTCGCTGTATATATGGCCAAAGTCACCCGGCTCCTGCTCACCCTTTGTTCTCCTTGCTGTAGGACAATGTTCTCAGGTTTCAGGTCTCTGTGGATGATCCTGTTCTCATGAAGGTACCTGAGAGCAGAGGCTGAAACAGAGAGAGGCAGCTGTTACTCAGCACAACTAACACCTCCCAGCATTACTCCAGAGGGGCTAAGCCTGCAGGTTCTAAAAAGCAAACACGGCTAAGAGGAGAGAGGAGATTACAGTGAGGGAAGACAGGGTAGGGGATGCAGTACAACGAGAAGGTTTGGCCTGGAAGCCACTTGCAATATGCTGTACCCTGAAGTAGCAAGGACAGGGGCTGGGTACAGCTGCTCCAGGATATGGAAGCAGAGCTTGTTGTTGGCAGCTGCTCTCTTTGCATACATGAAAGTTCCATCACATCCATGGAAAACCCTCAATGACCTATCCCAATCTAGTTCCCCCTGACATCCCCCCAGGAGACAGGTACCTAGGGGAGCTGCAGCAGGGAGGAGATGAGGCTCCAGGTGGGAGAGGGGCTGTAAGGGCCAAGCCCACCTTAGAGAGAGGAAGTGCTATGCTCAGCATTTCCAAGCCTCATCTGTCCTAACATCAGTGATGACCCAGTAGCCACTGTGCCAAGCCAGGTCTGCGTTGCCCTCAGTCCTTTGGCTGGCTGCAGCCCTCCCCACCAGGGAATACTTCGACCACATCCAGCTGGTATAGCCATCTCTGCAGCGTCCAGGCTCACACCTAAGGCAGAGAGCATGCCCAGGGACAGAGTCATGGCTGGAAGGCTGATACACTCCAGCTATGCTGAGCCAACACGATCATCCCAGGATATGGGGAGACACAAAGAGGTAGATCAGAGCCACTTCCCCACTTTGTGTGTCAAGAGAAACTCCGGCTGAATGGAGAATTGGGACCAAAGTCTGCATTTTTCATGTTCAGCCAAGCCAATCCCTGAGCAAAACCCTGCAGCCGTTAGGTGGGGACACAGCTCACTCCGGCTGTTTGTAAGGAAGAGGCTAGCAGCATTTCCATAGCCTGCAGCTGCACTTTCCAGCACTAACTCAAAGGGACTCACTTCCCACTCCCTCTACATCCCTCATGAGGCAACACGTCACAGAGCGCAGAAGAGAATCCAGTGCCTCCAGACTCCCCTACAACCATCAGTCTGCCTAGCCTTACTTCAGGGAGACATCAACAATCACCCTACTCCAGGGGTGACTTTAACCCTTAGGATGCTGACTAATCCCCAGCATGGCCAGATCCCAGGGTTTCAGATGGGCCACTAGGAGGTACTACTGAGAAGAAGGGAACATTTCTAGCTAACCAGGGTCAGGGCCTTGGATCATTAGACCCGGGGTTGCTCCCTCCATTACCTGTCCTCTCAGCATGACACCCCCTGCCTCTGTTACCAGTCCTCAGCCTCTCCTGGGGCCAAGAATGAGCACAGGGGAGGCAAACAGAAGCTGTCACTGGGCCAGAGGTGCTCAGAGTGAGGGGCAGGAGGAGGAGATTCTGTTCAGCTTTTGTGCCTCCAAGAAGAGCAGTTTGCTTCTCCTCTTGCTCATTCCCCAGGCCCACACCAGCCCAACAGGCACTTCTTAAACTCCTTCCTCCGAAATACACTGCATCTGCCAAGACCTACATAAGAGCCGCAAACAGGCCACATGGATGGGGGCCTGGCTGCCCTGGAGAGGGTTCCTTCCCATGCTTCACCACAACAGCAGACACTTTGAGGTGCACCTGTCCACAATCTCTAAATACTCATGCTTGGGGATTGGAGGCTGGCTGTGCTGGGGGCATCACCTCATTACCATAGGTCACTTCGGGTGATATATGTTCGAGGAAAGGGGGCCTGTTCAAAGCAAACAGTCCACAACAAGCGCTATAATGTCGTTGTGCGTTCCCATCAGTCTCAGATGCTATGGTGATAATGTAAGTCAATGAGGAGCCCACCCCAGCCCTGAGAATGGGCTGCAGCTAGGAATCCCTATGAGGAACACAAGCTGGAACTCGCTCATCCTGCCTAGCACCTCCCAGGAAATCCCTTGAGCACGTTTCTCGCTGGGAAAGGAAACACACTACTTTCCACATCCCAATGTCAGAGACGAGTCAGAGGCCACTTCCCTTCTGGGGAGGCTTTCAGAGCAAGGCAGGAAGGAGAATACTATTAGACACCTACCTAAAGGGGAGGCATCCAGCGTCACAAACCTACTTCACATGGAACTAAAATGGCTCCCTTCCCAGACTGGGACAGCGGCAGGCCCTGCTGCCACAAAGCAGCAGTAGGCAGACCCAAAACGAAAGAATTTGAAGAGCAACTAGCAAAAGACACTAACAGCAAATTCTTTTGCAAGTACATCAGAAGCAGGAAGCTTGCCAAACAGTTAGTGGGCCACTAGATGATCAAGGTACTAAAGGAGCACTCAAGGAAGACAAAGCCATTGCGGAGAAGCTAAATGCATTCAGTCTTCACTGCAGAGGATGTAACAGAGATTCCCACCAGGGAGATTCCCACACCTGAGCCATTCTTTTTAAGCAACATATCTGAGGAACTGTCCCAGACTGAGGTGTCAATAGAGAAGGTTTTGGAACAAACTGATAAGTTAAACAGTAATAAATGACCAGGACCAGATGGTATTTACCCAACAGTTCTGAAGGAACTCAAATATGAAATTGCAGAACTACTAACTGTGGTATGTAACCTATTGCTTTAATCAGCCTCCATATCAGATGACTGGCAGATAGTTAATGAAATGACAACTTTTAAAAAAGGCTCCAGAGGTGATCCCGGCAATTACAGGCTGATATGCCTAACTTCAGTACCAGGCAAACTGGTTGAAACTAGTAAAGAACAGAATTATCAGACACATAGATGAACAAGATTTGTTGAGAAGAGTCAACATGGCTTTTGTAAATGGAAATCATGCCTCACCAATCTATTACAATTCTTTGAGGGTGTCAATAAACATGTGGACAAGGGTGATTCAGTGAATATAGCGTACTTAGACTTTCAGAAAACCTTTGATATGGTCCTTCAAGGCTCTAAGCAAAGTAAGCAGTCATGGGATAAGAAAGAATCAGGAACTGGTTATAAGACAGAAACCAAAGAGTAGGAATAAATGGTCAGTTTTCACAGTGGAGAGAGGTAGATAGTGCTGACCACCAAGGATCTGTACTGAGACCAGTGCTGTTCAACATACTCAACTGATCTGGAAAAAGGGGTAAAAACTGTGAGGTGGCAAAGTTTGCAGACAATACAAAATTACTCAAGATAGTTAAGTCCAAAGCTGACTGCGAAGAGTTACAAAGGAATCTCACAAAACTAGATGGCTCAACAATAAAATAGCAGATGAAATTCGGTGATCAATGCAAAGTAATGTACAGTGGAAGACATAATCCCAGCTATACGTACAAAATAATGGGGTCTAAATTAGCTGTTACCACTCAAGAAAGAGATCTTGAAGTCATCATGGATAGTTCTCTGATAACATCTGCTCAATGTGCAACAGCAATAAAAATAGCTAACAGAATTAGGAAAGGGCTAGATGATAATAAAACAGTAAATATAATACCATTATATAAAATCCCTCTTATGCCCATACCTTGAAAACTTCATATAGTTCTGGTCGCCCCATTTCAAAAAAGATATATTAGAATTGGAAAAAGTACAGAGAATAGCAAGAAGATTGATTAAGGGTATGGAACAGCTTCCATGTGAGGAGAGATTGAGAAGACTGGGACGGTTCAGCTTGGCAAAAAGTTGACTAGTTGACTAATGGGGGATCTGATAGAGGTCTATAAAAATCACAAATGGTATGGAGTAAGTAAGTGTTATTTACCTGTTCACATAACACATGAACCAGCAATCACCCAATGAAATTAATATTCAGCAGGTTTAAAACAAACATAGGGAAGTACTTCTTCACACAATGCAGCCAACCTGTAGAATTCATTGCTAGGGGATGTTGTGAAGGCCAAAACTATAGGTTCAAAAGAGAGTTAGATACATTCATGGAGGATAGCTCCATCAATGGCTATTAGCCAAGATGGTCAGGGATGCTACCCCCTGCTCTGGGTGTCCCTAAACCTCTGATTGCTAGCCACCAGGTCTGGATGACAGGGGATGGATAACCGCCCTGTTCTGTTCGCTCCCTCTGAAGCATCTGGCACCAGCCACTGTTGGAAAACAGAATACTAGGCTAGATGGACCCAGTTTGGCCATTGTTATGTTCACTTACCGATATCAGAGAGCAGGATGAGAATGGCTCCCTCCCGTAAGCCACAGCAGTTCTCAAACTGGTTCAAGTACTGCAGAGGATCAAAACAGAGTGTAAACTAATCTCCTCTGTGCCCCAGTCCTGGGTTTGGCCCCAATCCTGCAAATGCTTATGGATGTGAGTAGCTATGCAGAACTCAATAGCATTACTCACATGTGTAAGTGTCTGCAGGATTAAGTCCTTAAATAGTAAAACTACAACTTCAAACACCATTTCCCTCTCCACAGATAGGAAAATTGCCATCATCTTCTCCAGCAGCTCTTCCAGGAGGAAGAAACCCCTTCACAGCTCCTCCCCCGTGTCCCGCAGCAGTTGGCTCAGCCAGCCAAGCACCAGTCTCCCTAATTGCAGCCATGTGCTTTGGGCACTATCTGCATTTGGGCTTTAAGCAAAAGTTAGAAAAACAACATCAAGACCAAAAAGAACAAGTTCTTTTTCCTGCTGACAGCTGGGAGCTTATCATTTCTGAGCAGAGGTCCACCCACTGACCTGGTCTGGGATGTTCTGGGCCATACTCACATCCTGTTCTCCATCTCTTACACATCCCTTGCTCTCTACGTGTGCATCCCACAGACACACATTTGCTCACTGCCCCCAACAGAAATGGAAAGTTTCTAATAAAAATCCAGAAAGAGGATGTAAAAATGCATCCGGGATCAACCCTGCCCCTTGCTCAGAGGAGGCACAAGCAGGCACAGCCCCAGATCAGGAGGATTAGGTGGCAACAGTATGTGGAAGCAGCTGGGGAAATCCCACTGAATCACCCACAATTGAGCCTCTTCAGAAAAAAACCTACACTTCCCCCAGTAGCCCCTGCCCTCCCAGGATCATCAGCCCAATGCCTCACCTTGCGAAGGTCTCCACCCTGGCAGTATTCCATGGCCAACAGAGGCAAGTCAGTGGGTGCAAGGTTCTGCATCCCTTCAGGGACTTCGCGGGCAGCCACCACATTGGGATGATTCAGTCTGAGGAAAGGAAATGAGGGAAGCATGAGATCACTGGAACCAATTCATCTCAGCCTCCTCCCAGCAATAACGGAAAGGGCCAGCATCCTGAAAAGTGATCATCCAAACGAGAGCTTTACAGTCTCACACACAGGTAGGTATTAAGGAAGGTCACAATGGGACTTTAACCCTTCGCACACAGAACTAGTGCACTTCAAAAGCTTCCTTCACCCTGCTCAATCCACTCTCCCCCCCCAGGACAGGGCTTTAGTCCTAACTCGTCTCCCAGTTGTCCGTTTCCTCATTCTCTCTATAAGCATCCAAACTTTGACATGCAGCCTGCTCCTAGCCCCATGAGAAGTCAGGGCTACATTCAGCCCATTGCAGCCTGCACAAAGCTGGCTGATTCAGCAGGGATATAAATGGTGGGGTAAGTTAGCCAGGAAACTGGGTACCTAGCAAAGTCATGTAACTTGCACTGATGGGGCTTTCAGTGCATGTGCAGGACACTCACAGAAGATAGCACAGGAACAACAACAAATAGGAAGGTGCAAGAGGAAGCAGCTCCCTAACATGCACTGCCCCCAGGCTCCTGGGGCCAAACACAGCCCCAGCCTCCATGGACCAAAGCACCAGGGGCAGATCTAGATGCAAGTTACAGGACTTAGCCTCAGAAAAGGAGGGTGAGTGACATTCTCCCCCAAGAAATGTGACCTGCATTCAGCACACCGCATTCCCATTACTGCTGAACTGGGCTCAACTGGAAGCTGAAGAGTGTTGTAGGCATCTCCCTGTATGACACACCCTTCTGCATGCACTTCACAAGCATTATAGGCGCACATGCTACATTACAGATGCTCAAATGGAGTCTGAGTAAAGTCCCCTTTGAAAACATGGGTCTGGTTTTGTGAGCCCTATTCCTATTAGATGGAATATATGAGCCCAGAGATGTTAACAAGAGTTTCAGTCTTAAATAAGGTTTGTTGTACAGAGACCTCAGGCTGCTTAGTACCATGGCAAACAAACAATATTAAACACCTCTTTAACCTTTTATTGAAGACACAGATAAGGGAAAACAGTGAATACTTTATATTTCAAATGTTTTAACTAAGGCTTTCATATTAACATCCCTTGCTCCCTTTCGCTGAGAAGAGTTTCTAGAAGGAAAGATACCCTTGTTTAAGAGTCTCTTCAGTTGCATTACCATGAAAATAATTGTCCTTTTTGGGAAAGAGAAAGGAGGGGGATAGAAAAGAGAAGAAATAAGATAGGGGTGAAAAAGGACACGTGGGGAGGAGGCAGGGGAGAAAAAGGCTCACAGCCCAGGTGGTGTTTGGATTTCAGCCAAAGCCAGTAGAGATGGTGACGTCCCCTGAGTCACTCTCTCTGCCCTAGTCTGGTGAGCACTTCTCGCAGAGTCAAGATAACAAAGGACAAGGATCCCAGAAAATGGAGGGGGTAGTAGCTGAGATGGTGCAGTTTGCCCACTGACTTTTTCCCTGAAGTCTTTCTTTAAAGGACCCCAAAAGGAGTGATAGGTGGGATAGCCCACCCTCTCATTACTTTGTCCACCAATTAGATCTAATTGCCAACACACTAACTTTCGTTCACAGATTTTTGGTGTCACACAGTCTTGTTTACCAGGCATGCTCTTAACAAAGTTCTTCAATTATATCACTCGGCCTTTTCGTGAGGACTAATTCAACCTGTCTCCATTTCACACCTTTTTCCATTAACATTATTATAAGTTATTGTGACCTTTTATAAGCTTTCATTCACTTTTTACAGTTGAGCTCACAATTAGGTCCAATTATCACAACAGTGCTCTACAAACTTTTGTTTCCCCACTGTCTCTGCAGAAGCAGCAGCAAATTACTAAAGTTTATTTCACATCACTGATGATGCCGATGCACAAAAACAGAAGGAAGTAAATAAAAGGCAGTGGCACTGATTCCTACCAAAACAGATCCCCGCTGGGGAACAGTCAATGGAGAAGACATGTCAAGAAATAGACTTCACCTTCGAAGTGCTTGACAGTGGCCATCCCATCCCTTCCCGCGCTCATGGATTCAGACTCTTCTACACACAGATCTAGGTCCTCAGCTGCTGAGCAAGATATCAAGGAGTAAGGGATCACACAATGCTCACCTTTTCATTATCTGTATTTCCAGACACCATCTCTCCCGATTTCGGAGACTTAGCTCCTGACGACATTGTTTAATAGCAATCTGTTCCCCTGTTTCCTGCACAGACACAAAGAGAGTTAGGACAAAAACATGTTTCCACCAGAGATGTATTGTGAGGACCAACAGAAGATGTAGCGACCCACAAAAATGTAAGGCTATTCTTGGGGATCCTCCCAGCTCTTCTTCAAGGCCCCTCCCAGGGAGACAGTCATTTAGAGCACCAAATATGCACCAGAACAGAAGACACCAGCTCATGCCCCCTTCCCCAACTCCTCAAAACCAAAATAGTACCCTGAATTTCACGCTCATGCTTGCAAGTCTCCACAGTGAGGCTAAATTCTGAACCATGGAAGTTCACCCCTCTTTTCATACAGAATGTGTCCAGAGGCCAGTGGCACCTTTGAGACTAACAGAAGTACTGGGAGCATAAGCTTT